GGTAGTTGATCACTGATTATGAACTGTCTCTCTAAGATGAAATGATGAACCGAACAACTTTCAGTCCATTGTGGGGAGTTAAAAGGGATGCATCATCGGATCTGGTGAGAACACTGGAGCTCATTTAAAGAAACAATTCAGGGCCCATCTTCGGTTTCTGTTTTTCTGACATTGTCCCTCACGTTGGCGTAGTCCTCCAAACCTTCTATTACATGTGGAGCACACCCTTAGCTTGCCAGTGGCAGCATCACTTACCTCAGCTCGACTTATGACTCGAATGTCGTTCTGTGCAATATGGATCCCACATGTGGAGCACACCCTTAGCTTGCCAGTGGCAGCATCACTTACCTCAGCTCATGACTTATGACTCGAATGTCGTTCTGTGCAATATGGATCCCACGTTGAAATGCAGGTTTTGATTGCACCATGTGGTTGGAAAGTTTTTGTGCACGTAACGGTTTCTCTGGATGAGATTAGTCCTGCTATCTACATTGACGTTAAGAAATTGCCGGCATTGGGTCTGTGTTCGGTCACAGTTGCATTTTGAAAGTTGGAATATTTTGTTCGCATTGTGTTGCGAGGACGGAAGTGCTGGAGGGGATTCACCTCAGGTTGACATTTATGTGTAACATGCGACTGCAAAAGGCTATTGAGGCAGATCGAATCCATCTCAGAAAATCTTGCGGTGCAGTACTGTGTTGAAATCACCAGCTGTATCACTCGATTTCGCAGCATTCGTGACCCTTCAGTTGAGGTAAATAACAGGGACATTTGCTATATGAGTCGTTCCAAGTTTCGTTTCTTTGAAATTCTATGTTTGTTCTGTTCGCTAAATAAAGAAGAAGCATGTGTTGTTTCTCGATCCGATCTTTTTATTCCGCTCCTTGAACTGATAATAAATTTCTGTTGAAGATTCTAGAGATGATGCCAGAATGTTGTGCAGTCAAGATGAAAGTAGCGGCACTACTGAATGTTAGCATGCAATGCACCACACATATGAGTAAGGTGGAGCAGGTTGACCATCAGATGATAAGCACACTCATGCATCTATCTCGAGATGGTTTGTATGTTGAGGTGGTTTCTGAAACAGTCGAATGATATGGGTATTTCGTGGAGAGTAGAATCTGCCTTAGACACTAGATAATTGAGGAAGTAGATCCAGAGACTAGCTTTTGCACCGCTTAATGTACTCCTACTAGGTTGAAATGACGCATAACTCCGAAGGCTAAGCAGGGCACCGTCATAAAAACCGAAGCTTAACTCGAAGTTGCAATCATGCATTCATGCATGTGGTGTCAATCTATATATATATATATATATATATATATATATACACATATTAGTTTTGGTGATTTTCTAATTGAAGTGATTACATAAACCTAGTCAAAATTATCAACCTACTAAATAGACATTCCTTTTTTCCTTCTTACCTAATCGTTTGCTGGCATCTCCTTCGGAGCTCAAGTCGAATCAAGTTTTGTAACCCGACTGTTGTGTCAAGGAAGCTTCAAGCTTCTAATGAAACGAGTGAGATGTGCCGACCAACTGAGTGAGAACTCTCTGCCCCCGCAATAGAAGCTACGATTCAGCAGCTTTCGATGCCTAGAATCGATCTGTATTGAGACATTGATCAGGAATACATGCGAGTTCATCTAAGCGCACACCTGATGATGTTGGATGTCAACAAAACAAAACTGCAATCAATTTAACTTAATTAATGCATTCGGGCCTCGTCGAGTTGAACAATATCCAATTCTACCTGCAGATTCAGAGCAAGGTCTAGCAGTTGCAGCCCGCGATAAAAGCGAGCGAAGCCGTTTGTTGATGGTTTATAGCAGATATAGAAGAATTGAGGAACTACGATGTTGCGACGAACGTTGACAGCACAGGATTACAGATCAAGGATTGGTATGGTGTTAACCAAGAAAAAAGAAATTTTCTGCACTCAGTGCCATGTTCCCTCAAGTCACAATGTTGCAGCAACACTGAAGATTGCAAAACGTAGCAAACCCCGGCAGACACATCAAAACTCCGCCGGTTACTGCTCTCAGCGCAAGCTTACAAGTGAATTCGTGGGAGTAAGGTAGAGTTGGTAGATGATTTCTGCTCTGCTCCCGACCGTCATATTTAGGCGTTGAGATGCCAATGTGAAACTCAGGTAGATGATCTGGAGGGGAGATCGTAAATGGAACAGACCACAAATATAGAAGACGGCAGGACAGAACCAATATTGGAAATGAAGCCAAAAGGACAACTCTGTGGCGCACCTTGGCTTCAAGCTATTAATGTTCGGAGCCACAACCTTTACTTAGTGTCGGCCTCGTGTTCCCTGTTGACCCTTGTTCTGTTTTTGCGATGATCGTCTCCTAAAAATTACCTCTGCCCCTGCTCTTCCTCATCTCAGTCCTTAATATTTGACAAAGGCGCTCACCCTTACTCTTTACTAATGAAACATTTGCATGGTGCCTCAAGGTTATGGAATATCCTGGTGTGCTCTCCAGCTGGGTTTCACCAACTGGAGATACCCAGTGGCCTCTTTGGCTCTGTTGGGTAGGGACACCAGGACAAGTTAACACCTGCAAGGCAAAGCTCTCAAAGGCAGAGAAATTGTCATAGATATTGAGTCTGGGTAAGCCAAGCTAGTTGTACATGGCAGGCAGGGCCCACCATCACATTGTTGTGTGTCTCCTGCATTGTAGGCTCATACCCTCATGGTGCTTAGAATGTGTGGACTAATCCAGCCTGCCTGCTCCTTTGATAGCTAAGCTTAATCACACTGCTGAGAACAATAATGGTGGTGTTCAGCAATTTGTGGTGACATTTTCAAAGAGATAAGTGCAGACTTGGTTTGGTGGTCGAGGGATCAAAGTCAACTGGGATTTACGCACCATGCTCACTGTAATTCATGGCCAAGTTCCATGACCCTGATTACTTTCAATGGATACAGACTTTTTTTATATATAGTTTTTAATCACATGCAACATTTTGCTTGCTTAAAGGTTGTTTGTTTCTTTCAATGCAGATTTCATTGGTTCTTCCCAAAACATCCTGAGAGTCCAAAGTTGTTAAGTCAAAGGTAATTATGAAGTGGTTGTAATTTTACCACATTATTAAATTAATCAGCACTCATATGTGTGGAATTATGTAATTAACTTGGAATATGAGCACAATAAGAAGAAATAGTTTCTTAATGATGACACCACTATTTGCAGTCAACACTTATTTTCACTCTACTTTGTTGTGAATGCCAAAAGTTCTTTTGCCATATACAAGTCTGTATCTTCAAATAAAATAAAATAAAATAACATTATTATGGAATTATGAGATGCTTTTAACTAGGAAAAAAATCTCATTGTGGAGATGTATCAAATGGTTGCTGAATTAGGTAGCAACCATGGTTGGAGCATTTGACTTCTAGAAAGTTATCATGGTTAGAGTCTTTGGCTATTTTAAGCTCATGTAGGGTTTCCAAGGGTCAAATGCCTAATGCCTGTACGATCAAGCGCACAAATCCCTGAGAGTAAGGCCATTGGTGCTAAAAGTGGATAATTCTTCCTGTCCAGCATCACCCCTTTTATTCCTAAAGCAACCTGGTTTACTGTGGATGAGTACAGCAGAAACATTGCAGCATCACTTGCCACTCCACATGCTTGTAGAAACCCATCTTGCTTCTACAGTAGAAATCCCAAGTGCTTCATTGGCATACAGTTGCCACTCACATGAATACAAGCCCTTCAGGTCACACAAAGCAGTCTATGAGACAACATGAGGGGATTAACCAAAGAAGGGCCTGTTCCACAGGACAAGTAGATATTTCACACAGGTATGCTTGTCCACACTAAAAGCCAAAATTGAAGGCTGAAGGAGAGATGTAATGGGTGTAGAGGGATACAACAAAAAAGCTGATTTGATGGTAAGTGTGCTTAGATTGCCACTGGGTCAACACACCCAACTCCATGACACAGCATTCTTCACAATCCAGTGTCCCTCCCCTTCCATTTGAGATTAACCATCAATTTCCATCTCTGTCACTCATTCTCATATTCAGTTACACATGTCAGCTTCTCATCATGGGTCCTCTGAAACCAGGTTGCCTTAGCAAGCAATGGTCATACACTGGATTTGAAAGCTTAACATTGGTGAGAGCTGTTCTCCCCCTGTGTGGAAGGCAGGATTTAAGGCAGAGGGCCCTTCACTTGTATTTGTTAGTGTGTGGATGGAAAGAGGATGAAAACTGGGTGCTCTGCTCAAAGCTCACTCCTTTTCTCACTCATATACATATATACATACACACACCTGTTTCTTCTTTTTCCTCCCTCCCTTCAAATCCACACAAAAGCCTCCATTCATTGACCAAGGCTGCCCCACATTTCAATGGATTGAGCAGGTGTGTAGGGTCTATCCACTGGCTAAGAATCTGATCATCATGCCAGCATCAAATCCATTCATTCCTCACTTTCTCACTTTCCCTGGGGGGAGTGCCTGGTCACGCAGCACCATTTTTGTTTTTGATTTTCTGCAAAAAAAAAAAAATTCCCATGGTCCTTTTGGTTTACCAGCCACTTGAACACATGCACACATGCCACCCAGCAACTGCAGCAGGCCAAGCAGAAATTCAGGAAATTTGCACAAAGCTGGTGAAGCACCAAAAAATCCCCACAGCATGGCTTCCCAGTAGGGTAAGGAAAACCCCACAGCAAAAGTATAAATAAATAAATGAATGTAGCTGTGTGTGGCAGCAAGCATAGAAATGGGTCCCATTGAGGAGAGAAGGAAGCGAAGAGAAGGGGGGGGGGGGGGGGGAGGGAGGATAGGTTTGGAGTGACGACAAGATTGTATGCGGTAGCGGTAGTTTTTACCAGCCAAGGGAGACGAGAGAATCATCAAACCAATCCTTACGTGGTACCATGGGGAGCCCAAAGGTGGTACCTTGGGGGCGAGCATTTGACCGATGTTTTTTTTGTTCCTCTCCTCCTGCTCCACCTCCGCAATAGCAATGGAGGAATCCCGGGCGGGTGGAGCTGAGCTTAGCTGGGAAGGCAAGGCCGCTACAAGTGTGGCAGCAAAGCGGGGAGAGCGGGACGTGTCCAGGGACAGGTGGGGGAGGGACCCCACAGCAGCCGAAAAGACCACAGCGGAGGCCATTGCAGGAAATCGACGAGCACACAGGGAGGAAGGGGTCCCCGCGTGCCATGGCGCGAGAGCAGGATGCGGAGCTCGTTCCTTCACTGCCAAATGCCACCGCTGAAGAACAAGAAGAAGACGAAGACGATCACACAGCGACCAAGTGAAGGAGCGGAACAAAGCGGAGGGGACGGAAACGACCGTTCTGGATCCCATCTGAGACAACAACCTCATCGTTTCTCATGTTGCTGCTCCCTCTACCGCCTACTGCTCTCCTCTTGGCCTAGCGTGTGCGTGGCTGCGCTGCCCGTCGGGATTTATCCGCACCTCTTCCTTCTCCTCTGTCCCGAATTCTTCCACGTGCTTCCGTTGTAGATATCTATCTGCTTAGGCAGAGGGTGCACAGCTTGGTGAGTTGGACTTCTGGGCCGAACGAGACACGACGCGAGATTAGAGCGTGTTCCCATGCAGGCGATTTGGTGTGTGTTCTAATCGTCTGACTTGTTCATTAGTGTGGTGTGGGTTATTCATTTTTTTCCCCCTTCTTTTATTGGGCTCCTACGGTTTCATTTTTTTTTAGTATTTTCCCTTTCAAAATTCTTGGAGCAGGAGTTTGGAGCTTGCGAAGCTGTGCGTTCTCGGTCGAGGGATGATTTTTCGAGGGCGTCTTTTCTGGGTCCATGAGTAGGACGATCTGTGGGTCAGGATTGTGTTGTGTCGAAGGTATCGGGGATTGAATATGCAGACCGTCGTTTCTTGGTGTTGCATCTACTGGGGCGAAGGGAAGGTTTTCTGCGATGGTTTGAATGTGTCAGATTCGAAGATTTTGAGAACCGCTTCGGAATTGGAAGCGCACCATCTCGGTGAAGGCGTTGTGACGAATTCCGCCTATTGCGAAGGCGCAGGAAATCTAGAAGGAACTTGGTTGTTCAAATATTGAGTTTAGAGTGGTAAGGTTTATGGTTGAATTCCAGGCGTAGAGCAGGGGACTGTTGCCGTACCGAGAAGATCAGCCAATTCTCGCACGAATCGTGTCTTTGCAATTTAACATGGCAAGAAAGAATAATCTTTGATTGATCAGACGAGTCTTGCAGTAATGCACCGAGCTTTCGGTATAATATCAAGATGAGCTTCTGCGCGCCAATTCGCTTGTGTATTTGTGAATACATGGGAGCTTCTGCTCGTTGATCCTGCTTACCAGGAGCCAGCAGACTTCTGCTTTTTGATAGTCCTTGATTCTTTAGGAATCTGCAGGAATTTTGTGAAAGGCAATGGCTTCCTTTGACTCAAGATCCTCGAGAGAGCAGAACCAAGCTAAGCTGAGTAAAGCCAAGTGACACTTATCCATCTATATTCATATTTTGCAGGGTACCCCACAAGTGGGGCGCGGTGGTCACAATTGCGCCAGAAGGTGACAGTAATCCTAAGCGCATTTTAAAGCAGGGATTGTAGGGAAGGGCTTCAGATCGAGAGTACACCTAAGGGTGCATCCTAGTGATGGCTACCCTAACGCCGGGAGTTTTACTGAAGCTCCTGCAGCATATCAACTCGGGTGTGAAGGTGACAGGAGAACACCGCTCCGCACTTCTGCAAGTGATCTCCATCGTGCCAGCGCTCCACGGAAGCGAGCTGTGGCCAAACCAAGGATTCTACATTAAGGTGTCCGACTCGTCGCACGCCACCTATGTCTCGCTAGGAGAGGAGCACGACGATCTAATCCTGAGTGACAAGCTGCAACTGGGGCAGTTCATTCACGTAGACAGGCTGGAGGCTGGATCCCCCGTGCCGCTTCTTCGAGGAGTTAGACCTCTGCCTGGACGTCACCAGTGTGTGGGAAATCCGCAGGATCTTGTGGCCACGGTCGTGCCGGCATCAGCGATCGATACTTCGCTCCAGCCCGATCTGTTTCAGCCCGACTTGCGCACCTCGGACACCATCGACCGATGCAATTCCAACAGGTTGGTGAAAACGGTTCCATCCAGTTGAATCTATTTCTCTTGAGTTGTGGGGCTGTAGGAAGTATGCTGAAAGCTATTGACAGGATTTATGGCAGGTTTGATCCATCATCTGCGGAGAGCATTGCAGGGAAGAATGCGGAGAGGTCGAACGGGCCGTCGGTGAATGGTTCCTTTGGGAGGTCTCCCTCTGCTAGGTTCCAGGATGTGGAGGTGGCAGTGGAGAAGACAATTGAGATTTCCTCGGACGGCTACGGGGCACAGCTTACGGAGAGGTTGGCGCGGGGTGCCATGGTCAGAAATGCGTCTTTCAAGCCCCAGCCTGCTCCTGAGTCTGCGAGGTCTAATGTGGTACACGAAGAAGGGAGGCAGGTCTCCAGAGTGAAAGTGCGCTCGGAGAAACCTAAGATGAATGCGGATTGCACCTTGGTGCAGAAGGAGGTGAACAAATCCTCGTCCCCTTTCAGATCCCAATCTGTCACGAACTCTCTATTCACGGATAGAAGATCGCCGAGCACTGGCTTCACCAGAAGCGTGGTGGCGTGTTCCGAAGATCCTCACAAAGACTCTCCAACTACCAGTACTAGGGCCATGCAAGCATCACCCATCACCAAAAGATCCGTGAGCACAGGCAGAGTTGCGAATATCGTCACAGATGCTACCAAAAGACGCCCCATTAGCACCAATGCGCGAGCTCCCGAGCCTGCCGCGTCGGTTGTTAAGAACACGTTGCGTAAGAGCTGGGAAGGTGCGGCTACTGCCAAGAACGTCAAAGATCGTCTTCAGCCCAAGGCCTCCAAACCGGACGTCAAGGCTAAGCTATGGTCCTCGGTAAGCTGTCTAATCTTTCCTTTGAATTTGTATGGAGCTTAATCTTTTATGTACGGCGAGAGGATGTCGGATTGCTTGGCTGACGGAACCTTTGATGTGTAGGTATCTGGATCGAGGAATAAGAATGGGGGCAGCAATGGAACGTCGTCAGAAACGGGGTCGTCGTCACCGCAAGTAGCAAATGGTAAGGTGAGCCATGCCAGAACAGAAAGCACCGGCTCTGCAGTAGGACCCGTCTCGCCGTCCAATTCTATGTCCAGCGTCATCGTGAATGACATCGATGTGGTCCAGAGACTTTCCGCTGGTTTCTACTGGGACTCTCTGCCCGGGAGCCTCGCTACATATGGCATGGTCAGTCTTCACAGTCACTCCAGCATTACCTTGGTTTGCGTCAAGTTCCTCTTGCTAACTCGAATGTAGGGTTTAAATTACCATTGGAGTGTAGTCATCTCTCTCTCGAAATGAGCTCATTCATGAGAGAGTTTTGATACTTGTGCAGGAAGCCATGCAATCAAGGGAGGCTGCAGCGTTGGCTGCGGTTGAAGCCCTCCAAGAAGCTTCAGCAGCGGAGAGCGTTCTTCGAAGTCTCAGGCAAGCAAATTGGAAACCCTATTCCTCACTTGAACTACTGCGTCTCTGCAACTGATACAACACACAGTTTTTTTTTTTTTTTTTTTTTTTTTTTTTTTGTTTAAAATTATTATTATTATTATTATTATGTGTTGTTGTTGTTGCATCATAATGGTTTCGCAGTCGAAACAAATCGGATTGTAGGAGTTACCCATGTGTTGCTTGCGAACTGTGCAGCATGTTTGCAGAGCTGTGCTCTGTTGCTCGGATCGATCATCCACAACCCTCTGTGGAGCACTTTCTGAGCCTCCATCAATCTCTCAAGCATGCCGTGGCCGTATCAGATGCACTTTTTATAGCTCGCAAATCCCCCGAATCTGTCCTCCCCACCGATGACGCCAACGAGGCGTCGAATGAGAAGGCTCTAATAGTGATGGAGAAGTCGCGCAGTGCTGCAAGCTGGGTCAATGCTGCTCTCACCTCTGATCTGGCCACCTTTTCGATTCAGGGCAAACAACTAGGATCAGTATCAGGTAACACTCTTCGAAGTATGCTCAAGAGAACCTCGAATCAGCCGTCGCAGGTCATGCTGGATAGTTCTAGCATGGTGCCTCGAGGGAGGAGTTCCTCGCCCTCTTTAACAAGCAGGAGCACTCCATCAACTCCATCCTCTCCAAAAACTCGCTCTGCTCTGACAAGTGTAAGCCATGTCGCAAATGCGAAGAGAACTGCCACAGAGCCGAGATCCCAGTCTCCAGTTAAGTTCGAATCCTATCTTCGTGCTAGGAACTAGTCTGCAAGAATGTGATCTGTGTTAGTTCTGATACGAGTCTGGCAGATGTGCCATGATGCTAAACTTATGTTTTCCCTGATGAAGGGACCTGTGTTGACGAGTTCACGACGAAGCAACGCCATCAGCAGAATTGGTCTAGGAAAGAGCTCCAAAGCAACGAGCAAGGTGACTCCGGAGGCACAACCCGTAGAGATGAAGGCGTCTATTGCTCCAACTGCTGCAACGTCCTCACCGGCATGGGTGAGAGGCAAGGGTTTAGCGGAGACGGCAGAGCTGGCGAAGCAGGTGGAGAGAGAAGCGCAGCGGTGGTTCCTCAACTTTATGGAAAATGCGCTGGATGTGGGCTTCCATGTGGCCACTTCAGGCAACAGCGACAGAGACGAGCTGCCACACGGAGCCAAACTTATGAGTCAGCAGGAGAATTCTCACATTGCCACAATGTTGTCCCAACTGAAGCGAGTGAACGATTGGTTGGACTTGATGGGCGATGATCTAGACACTAAATTGATTGAAACAAAAGCTCGCTTGAAGCGAAAGATATATGATTTTTTACTCCGACACGTTGAGTCAGCCGCTGCGGCGCTAGGAAACGTCTCATCCATTACGGTTTACTCCAAACCCCAGGTCGTGAACTGATCGGCCGCCGCCGCAGCAACAGCTACACATACAAGTTTGTGCAAGTTGCCCAATACAGGGCTCACGAGTGTCGTTGGAGAAGATAAAATGGTGGTTCATTGACAAGGGAGATTGGGTAAAGTAGCTTCTACCTCCGTACTCAAGTGAGATATAGTTGAGTGCTTCACAGGATTCTGTAATTTGTCAAATAGTGAGCAAAGAACTGCAGTGCGGGGTTGAAGTGAGCCTGTGGAGGTCAGTGCTACTGTCGAGGCCGTGCTGCAACGGAAAAGAAATTGCAAGTGATGTTAACAAGGAACCAGGCTGCCATGGCGATCCTCAATGACCTCCACACTCGTTTACAAGGTTGAGGATGAACCGCGACATAGCAAAGGTAGTAGGTTGGAGATGGGTTGATTGAGAAGCTCAATTCTGTTTGCATATAATAGTCGCAACCTTCAGGCTTGCCAGGCCTTGTACATTATACATTCTGGTTGATTTATTTACTTTACTCTTCTTATTCTCCCCTCTTAGTCATATCTCGAACAACTGCCGTCTATCCCTTAGTCTCGTCAATTGGCGTCTCGCATAGCATCGATCTCCTCATGGTCACGTTTGCATTAATATCCCAACGAGAGAAGCATGAGTTGAGTGCTGTATATTCTAGGTCACGATCATCTCCCTCCTGAGTTGGCTTGCTCACATTTCGTTTCAAGTTTGTTGCTTTGCTCACAGACTGCACGTTTTCAACACATAAGCAACAGGTGGGTCCCGAAATTCCAGTTCATTCTTGAAACCCTGTTCCGAACAATAAGTGACCAACTCATCTGGATTATGTCCATTAGACGCAGCTTACTTATTGCACAACCCAGATTGTCTGCATCCAGATGTACCGGGCAAATCCAGATGAGCCGCAGCGTTACGACTGTGAATTGATCTGTCACCTCTGCCGCGGAGAACAGCTCACGTAATTGCAGTCTTTTAAGCACCAAAAATAAAATAAAAAAAACACACGAGACACAGGTCGGACTAAGAATTTTGCTGTAAGACTTCAACAATGACAGTTGTACATATTCGTTTAGGAAATTTTGGTAATGTACCCGGAGCAATCGAGAAAGGGTCTCAATCTTTGAATCTCTTATCTAATGACAACTTGCTGTAACTACAATAAAATTGTTGACAAGCCTCCACAATGACAAAACAAGCAGTAGTGCTCTGGCATTGACATTACGAGTGAGAAACCCTTATTGTGAAAAAACAGCCAAACTGAGTAAAACAGAAAAAAATTGTAACTTTATTTCCAAGATTGGACTTTTATGATTGAACTACCCAGCATAATCTTCATACCAGCTATTCGATTCTGATCCATCTATGGCTTTAAGGTCTGATGGATCATAGTTTGGGGAAATGATTTACAATGAGAAATATTTTCCAGGGAAGAAGGGGGGGGGGGGGGGGGGGGGACCATCCTGGATTATAAGTGGGCCCCCTTATTTCATTTCTGGTGAATGCTTGGAACAAGGGCAAGAACTGGGTGCAATGAGATAATGCGGGCATCTCCCCCTAACATCGTGTCGCTTTGTAAAGCCCACTGACCTTTGTGGTGAAGAGATGAAGACGGAGGGCCATTCTGTGTGGAACTGCCTTGTCCAGTGAACAGGAATGAGAAATGTACTTGTTGGGTACGCTCAAAGCGAAGTTTTTAGCAGTGCCTAAAGTGGATGGGAAGCTGAGGATCTGATACCCATTTTGCAGATTGATCGTTCTCATGGACCACCTCCAGCTTAGCCTCATTCCAGTGGCTATGGCGACACCAGCAATTGCGGTGCGCCCCCACGCCCGGTTGCACCACCACCACCAACAACTAGTCGGCCCTTCTCGACTCTGTGCCCCGCCAGGAAATGGGTGGAATCACTTGTCTCGCATTCGAATTGCGCCGGTCTTTCCTTGCGTTCAATTCCACTCATACTCATGCTCTCATCAGCTGGTGGCCTATGCCACCTCCGCTTCTCAGGATCAAACAGCGTTGGAGTCCACCAGGTAACTTGTGTTTCATATTTCGAGTGAAATTCGTGGCGCTCTCGATCGATTGTTCCTGAAGGCGAGCCATTGTGGAGCCGAAAATTCGTGTAATTAGAGAGCTTCGTGCATGCTTTTTGTGGGAAGGCGCGTTTCGTAACTCTGGCTGTGAGGAGAGAGGTTGTAGAGGGAATATATCTTCGGTGTTTACTTGAGGATTCGACTTGCTCGACGTTGTTGGTTCTCCTTCATGAGGATAATCCGACGTTTCGCAGTTCCGTTGTCTCGAAAGAGTGACTGTGGGTGGAGTGTGCAGTGTGGAGCTGGCCTTCGCAGTTGGGGCTACGATGACTCCACATCCAGATAAGGTGGGGATCTCGGTGTTGGTAGCAGTATTAATTTCATTTACAGCTGTCACTGCTGCCATTAGGTCTGGGCTACTTTATTCAACCATTTTGGTGTGAGTGTTTACATGAGCAGGTACAGAAAGGTGGTGAAGATGCATACTTTGTGAGCAATTACGGAGGAGGTGTGCTTGGGATTGCTGATGGCGTCGGGGGGTAAGATCTCTCATGCAGCCCTTTGTCCGCATTCTACTTTCGGAACTGTGAATGTTGGATCTGTTGAAGTGGTCACTAATGCACCTTGAAACCTATCACCATAAACGTGTGTAATTAGTGTGAAAAGAACCTATTTAATTTTGGATTGCCTTGCAATGTCAGGTGGGCAGAGCAAAATGTCGATCCGGCACTTTACTCCAAAGAGCTTATGGCTCATGCTGAGGCTGCTGTGTCTTCTGAGGAGGTCTGCTTCAAAAATAACTTCTAGTCTTACTCTAGGTACTTCGTTAGACTAAATAGTATTCTTCTTTGGAGACCAGGTGAGTCCCATTCTTGCAAGTGCTATCCACTTGCATGAAATAAAAGGCTAGGAGAAGACGAGAGCTCTTTGGGTTTTCAAGAGATGAATACGCATGATATCCAGCGAATTGCAATTTAAAACGAGGTACATGGTATTGCCAGATGGAATTCAATGCGCAGATGCTACTGGCGAAAGCACATGCTGCAACGAATTCTATCGGAGCTGCTACAGCGTGAGTTACTCACCACACATCTTTAAATTAGTGGATTTAATGATTATATGCAGGTAATTTTTTACGAGTTGGTCGAACTTTCCTTCATGAGGGATAAACAAGTGTACAAAGTGACGGGTTGTTGACACCTCGGGTTTCTCTGAAAGGTAGCATCGTGGCACTATTGGAAAGGAATGGCGTTCTTCATGTAGCCAGCGTTGGCGATTGTGGCATTAGGATTCTTCGGCAAGGTACGTGCATCTGTTTGTATATTCAGTGGCTCCGTCATGCGCCGACTGAATTGCAGAACTGGCAGGATTTAAGCCTGATCGAAGATTGACTGTTGTTCCACAGGTCGGGTAGTGTTTGCATCACAACCGCAACAGCATTATTTCGATTGTCCGTATCAATTCAGCTCTGAGCAAAGTGGTCAATCAGCTGCAGATGCAATGGTAATTGTTAATATCATGCCAAGATTTGCTAAAATAGAATGTTTTTATTTTCAGTGTCAACTACTTTGCATGTGTCATGTTCCAATCCCCTTATTGTTTGCGACGATTATCCTCGTACTGGTTCTGGATTGGCTAAGTACAGCGGGGGGAGTGTGGAGCAGGTATTTAAAGCAGAACTGAAGGAAGGAGACTCGATCGTGATGGGGTCAGATGGACTGTTCGATAACGTGTATGATCGGGATGTCGAGACTACACTCAGCGTCTTCGGAGGTTCTGATGAGGAGTCGGCCATTCGGAGTGGTAAGTCTGGACTGGTTCTCCTGTTGTGTACTCACTAGGGTGGAAGCTTGTATCGTGGAACTTGTACCGGTAACTTAAAATATCAGATACTAGATGACTTGCGTATGTTGACAATGCAATCTGGTTGGACTGTAGCAAAGGCGCTGGCAGCACTGGCCAGCAAGAATTCCAGGGATCCTGCATATGAATCACCTTATAGCAAAGAGGCTATTCAGCAGGTTAGTCTCAAACAGTTTGTGTCAATATCATTGTTATTGATTAAGAATTGATTTACTTATTGACCTTCCTTGTTTCTTTCTTTCTTTTCTTGGTCGCAGTAGCTGCTAGCTGCTGTATGCAAACGTGATCCATCGTCTGTGCAGGGCTTGGATGTACCCTGGTATAAGAAGATTTTAGGGCAAAAATTAACAGGTAGGTGTAGACCTCTCTCTGCAAGTGATTACTTTCGACTGAGAAAATTGGTTTTTGGTTACTGCTTGTGTACATAAACATGCCTGCAGCTAATGATGTGGTGTTACAAAGTATAGGTGGGAAAATGGACGATATTACAGTGATCGTCGCCCACGTCGTAAAAGAACAGAAGTCTCCAGACGAAGCAATTGTTGAAATGAGGAGCGAGCCAGTACCGCAGATGCAGGATGTAGATGGTGAGACTAGTGTACAAAGAAGGGATGATGAGGAGCAATTAATTCCAGATGGCTTATCTGAGGGTTGGGCATAAGTCTAGGCGCCGATTGTTTTGGCAAATTGTACAGATCTGGATCATCTCTGTGGAAATCATTGAGCAACCTGCAGAAGAGTCCCATTTTCCACTTAATGCTCACTGGAGCACTGTTTTAAGTTATATCCCCTGATTTGAGTTTGGAGAATACCAGCCCAGTATTTTCGGTGCATTGGTGATCTTCTGAATTACTTGATCTATTTTTCTTCTCATCCTGACGGTTCCGCAACTTGATTGCACGACCATCGACGATCCCGCGTTTCAGAGTTGTATTACAGCATCTATGTTGACATTGTGGAATGGTATGGAGAGACAAGATTCCGTTCAAATAGTGAAGTTGTAACCTTCCTTGCAATGGCATTGTATATGTGATCACTATCAGCCGTAGAAAGTGTTTCTCCACTAGGGAATCAAACGCTTCTCCCCTAAAAGTATAGGAGCATTGACGACAGTCCCACTTGCATTTGTCCATCAAGGTGCACATTTGAATGAGCACCGCTTACGAATGGGTCTTTATTATACTTAGGAGAAGGCGAAGGGGGAAAGATTTGAAAACTTGAGAAGTTTCACAAAAGTGGTTTTGTACTTTAAAAGATTCTCAATATTGTATCCAAAAGCCAATGCTTCTAAAAGTTTCTTAACAAAGAAAAAAATATGAAGCTGACATTTTAAACCATGGCATTTGAAAGGGGTCTTTTGAGTACACAAACCTCTTAAGTAAAGATTGTATTTTGTGATGAATCTATAATTCTACTAAAATTGTGTATAGAAATATACTTTATATTATTACATAGATCTAAAACAAAAGAATTTGTGTTTATGCAACGAATGCACTAGGTGCACAAATTGCAAAGTGGTTTTTGATGTCAAACAATATGAAGTGGTACAACTTTATATAATAATTTTTAAAATTATATAATTGGTTTATTTTAAGATTCCATTGGTCTCATGCATTGATGTATCTTTACTTAATAGGATATTGCTGATTATGGGGATTTAATCTTATGCTTGTTAGGTAGAAAAAAAATTCAATTTTTTGAATTTTTTATGAAATGTTGTCAATTGGAAGAAGCTTAGTTCTTACAAAATTCCATTTAAAAAATATAATATAGTTCCATTAAGATTTATAAAAGGAAAATCTATTAATAGAATTAAGAAGCAATTACAAAATATAAGTATTGAGAGTTGTACCAAGTAACATGAATATGTAGAGCTTAGATGGGAAGGAGAAATAAAGGCCATGTCAAATGTCTAACTTTGATAGAAGAATGGTTGTAACAACATAGCTAATAGATAATTGTGGAGTGTAGTCACCTCACACCAATAAAATAGAATGTTCATCTAATTACATATACTTATGTCTTTTTAAGGAATATAGAATTTTTCTATAATTAAAATAGGTTTATTTTAAGCATATATTTTGGAGACTTTCAAACTATTCTAAGAAGATGTGTATCAATGTAAATTGTTATAGGATCTTGTCATTGGACTTAGAGAATTTTAAGAGACCTAATTTCTAGTTGGTTTATACAATGCATTTGTTACATATTTTTTTTCCATCAAGGTAAAAAAAAATTGGTTAAAAAAAAAGAATAATGGACATTCATTTGACTTTAGATACAATGTTTGGTAATAAAAAAATTATTTTCTACTATTAATTTATAAGTGTCACAATATAAATGTGTATTAAAAACCATCTTATCATTGATTCTTTTGTTTTCTTTTAAAATCTATATTCTAAGAAAAAACAAAATAACCAATAAGAAGATGATAACTTGATATGATTATGATGTCTCATCTTTGTGATCTACCCAAGAAAAGAAATATGCATTTGATGATAATGGATGTTGTGGATGAAGGGCTATCTAATATTTACCTTGTTTGTCTGTAGCAAATAGGTTTGAAACCATTGCTTTGTAATGATTGCTAGTTGTAAGTAGAAGGTCAAGTAGTTTGTATATTGCATTGCAAAGTAATAATAAAGATGTATTTTATATAGCAATGTGGATATATATTGTGATTGGGACATTGTGTTACAAATTCACAATGAAGATGTATTGATCTAGAAATGTATATGTTATATTGAATAATGTTTATGCTAGTTATGTTTTATTATAAATATGTTTATTGTATTAAATTGTGTGTATATACTTATTGTGTTACATTGTATGTGGATGGTTGTTGTATTGCATTGTATATATATGTTTGTTGTATTGTATTATGTATATATGTTTATTATGCTGCAATATATGTGTGTATATTTGTTGTATTGTACTATGTGTATTTGCTGTGTTAAAATTGTATGGAGGTATGTATGTGTTGTTTTATAGAGGCTTACAATATATATATATATATATATATATATTTATTTATTGTATTCTTAAATTTTTTTTGTATTTAAAGTTGATTCCATGTCTTCAAATCATCATTTTAAGACATTAAGGTGAATTAATAAAATATTAATATAAAAATGTGAAAATAAAGAACATAATATAATTATCTTGTTATAAATTTATTATATGTCTATTTTGTCCAATACTACATATATACTTTGTAAAAATTTTATAGTTTTTTGGCAAATTTGTATATGATATTTAATTTTTTTTTTTGTAACTTGTCAAATATTCTTTTCAACATTTTAGAAATATAAAGATATCTACATATATTTTTATTATATTTAGAATATAATAGGTATTTTTGAATCAGTTTTTTTTAGTATTATATTTCAATAGAAAAAAAAATAAAAATGATAAATTATAATTAATAATGAATTAAAGTTTTTTTTTCTCTTCTTTTCTAGTAATATAAATAGAACTAATATTATATTTCTTTGTGATATTTTTGTATTAAGTACAATTTCATCCATTTCTAAATATTTTATCTCAAAGCTTATGCTTTTATACCTTATAAAATATAATTAGCTTTAACTCACTTACTTTCACATTGTTTTGATAAGCACTATTTGTATGCATTTATATTGATTGAATATTTGGTGTAAATAGAAGAATGATTAAATATTAGTACAACCAAAAAATGTCCAATTACAAAAAATAAAAATAATACAATGTTAAGCATTATTATTATTGTTTGGAATAAAACATACTACAATGTTTTAATTTTGGTTGGGCAAAATTACAAGTCTATATATAAATGTTAAAAAATATTATTCATCATTTATACAATTAATTTTTTAAAATTCAGATAATGAAAAAAAAGGAAAAAGAAAAAAAAAAGAAAAAAAAGAAAAAAAAAAATCAACTATAAAGTTTTGTATATAATACACAAGCCACATATTAATGGTTTTAATCATAATTCACTAATTACAATAAATAAAAAATCATTGATCCATTTAGAATACTATCAATATACTTTGGAAATTGAATTAGGTTAAGTAGAATTGTGAAAGAATCAGGAATAGATATGGAGGTGGGAGAAGAGAAGGTGCAAATTGTGAATGAAGGAAGGAAATATGCAACGCTTTCTTTCTCTCTCCCTCGCTCACGTTGCTTGTCTCTCAGTTGGGTCTCTCGAATTGACGCTGAATTCTTCACCTCTCTTGTTGTTTTTGTTGGTGTTGTTGTTGGTGGGTCTTTTTATTATCGTTCTTGCGGCTCTTTCACGCTCTTTTCCACTCTTTCGGAGCTGTCTCTCGCACTATTTCCTTTCCGGTGTAGTGGTTTCATCCTCTGTTGTGTTACATTGGCACTCCCTCGTCGTCGTCGTAGCTTGGACCTAGGCACTCACTCGGCTGCTGGCTATGGTGGAATCACCTGCTGCTGCACCGTGGATGTTTGTTTGCAACAAGGGATGTGTCCATCTCGATACGAGGCCTGCTTCCGTGTTTTTGAAGTCTAGCACCCACGGAGCCTACACCACTACTCGCACTTGTAACGATGGGGCACAGGTGTTGTTGTGGGAAAGACACATCCGGAGGTTGTTCCAGTCCATGGAGGTCCTGGCCTCGGCTATGTCGGATCGTTTCCCTCATCCGCTTGGGAGTTTCAACGGACTTCATGACCTCGTCAACCCATCCTTGCAGGTCAGCGGATTCCTTCTGTGGTTGTTGCAAACATGCTACCCAGGAGGCATCTCATTCATTCATTGGCAAGAGCGGGACAGGATTTTCTCAGGCTTTATTAGAGCTTTTGATACGCCTTTGCCAAGTCTTCCACTCAATGTTAAGCATGTTGCAGCATTTTCAGTCTGTTCTTCGCTGCCATATTGTTTGATTCGGATATGCAGGCGGGGCTCCATAGAGCATTGACGCTGCGAAGATCTGGGGAGGAGATCAACATCACTGTTCTGGCTTCTCCCGATCACCTTTCGACTTGTCCGGATAGTGAGCGTGCAAATCTCGGCTGGAACGTGAGTGTTCACATGTCCAACTATGTGCCAAGATCACCACCGCCTGCTGCTCACATAGCGGTACTAGGTTCGAGGCGCAGGCTCCCCCTTGCCAAATTCTCCCTGTGGGCAAGCACCCGTGAGCCCTTGGAAAGGGCCAAGCCTGTGGGTGCAACTGAAATCGTCCTCGTGTCCGACGATGGGGACGGACTTCTCGAGGGTTCCGTCACGAATTTCTTTGTGGTTGCGATGAACCCTGATCTGGAGGTGCAGACAGCATCGCTAGACGATGGAGTTCTCCCCGGCGTAATCCGGCAACTCGTCATTGAAGTTTGTAAAGAAGATGGAATTCCTGTCCGGGAGGTCAAGCCGTCGTGGGAATCGAGAGGTACATGGACAGAATCCTTTGTTACCAGCAGTTTGCGAATAGTACAACAAGTGGGATCCATTCGGCGGAGGCAACCCTGCGTACCGGAGATGCATCTGGAGCATTTGAAGAACTGTGAATGGACCGAAGTGCGCTTTCAGACACATGCCACTGTCACCGATCATGTACGCAACCGGGTGCTGCAACGGGCACTTGAGGAGAGCATTCCCGTGCGAGAGTTCTTTCGTTAGGTGTGTTACACCAACTATTTTAGCCAATCAAGCAGCCATTGCAGTAATTTCACAGCTACTCCTACATTCCCAATTAATATATGTATATATATATATATATATAGATGTATGAAACGGTGCCACCATTCTCGATATCTTCACACTCTCAGATTGCAAAATACCTAGAGCCTAGTTTTGAGGTCGTTTACAGGAAGAAATCATCCATCAAATCTGTGTCACATCTTAATAATCAAAGATAAATCGGAATTTGGAGTGGGCGAATCTGCAAGATGTAAGAACCTACTATCGCTCAAGCATTTGGGTTTTTTGAAAAGAAAGGAACAAACACATCGTTTCTGGTGGAAAGCCTTGTGCCCTAAGCCGGTCTTCAGCAACAACACATTAGTAGTAGTGCATTTATACGTAGTGTTCATAAACTCTAGAAATCTGATGACGGTACGTCACGTTGAGTAATTTGTAGTTATATGTTTACAATTTTTCTCTTGTTAAAACGCCTCAATGCTTAAACAACATCATCTATAGAATTATTGTGATTGGTTTTATCTTGGTTAAAACTTAAGATTTTTTAATCTAAACTTTTCTTTGCTCTCTTGACAAGATTTTAAAGTAGAAATAACGAAATGTTTTTATATACACAATCCTTTGAGAATATGGCTACGCTCGGTTGTAAAAGCTTTTGAATTTAGAAGTTTTAAATTAGAAAAAATAATAAAATATAAATATAAAAACCAAGAAAGAAAAGTTTATCAATAACCTATCATAATACTTCATCATTAAAGTTTTGATAGTATCAAATATAATTTTAGAACAAAAATATTCATTTAAAAAAAATCATATCTTAAAAAATCAAGCATAACAAATTTATTAGTGTGTGTAATTAATAAACTATCAATTTAGAGGATTTAAAGATATTTGATAAAAACAAAATTACTAGACATATAATTTGAGAGCACTAAAGCATGCATTTATTGAATATTTTCTTGCTTCTGAATTAATTGAAAATTATTTGATCACACTCTAATCAATGGCTTATCAATACAAGAATCAAACAAAACAAGAGATATTATGTTTTAGTATTTCCAAAAAAAGACATAATTTTCTATTTCTCAAATACATTACATGATCACACAAATCATCCAAAAACATCCACAAACTACAAAATTAACAACAAACTCAAGCACATTCATTTTAATACCAACATGCCATCTCTCAAAAAATGTGTACTATATTAATACATTTTAGAATCTACCTTAAATTTTCACAAAACAAAGATTTTTTTTATTGTGAAAATTTTGTTAATTAAGTTAACCGATTATCTTCACCAGCCTCACTAACAGAAAACAGATTTGTGCATGACCATCTAGAAATGCTCAACAATAGTCCTCAAACCAACAACCAGAAAAGTAACTGATACTGAAACCTGCTGAATGGGACTTGGTCCAAATTTGAGGAAGCGCTAAGGGATTCCTCCACAGCACCATCAGCAGGAGCCTCAGTTCCAAATCCCAAAGCGTGTAAAGTTATGGAGACTGAAACTCAACTGCCAAATTTCTACGTCGTTCACAACTTTCACATCGGTTTCCTCTGTGATGAGGAAGCGTCAGATTCAGCAAACATTGAGTCGTTTACTTTCGATGAATGACACAAAAAGATCCATGCTCCAAGTAAACCTGCCCCTCACTGATTACTACACACACCAAAGAACAACCAGAAGAGTCGATTTCGTCAATATCTGGATTAGGTAGCATCTGTATTGATAAGAATGAATGGAGTTGGGAAATGTGTCACGAACACATCGACTTGGTCATGGTGCAAATTAAAACTGTTACATTTGCTTCGGTGTAACGATACTTCAGCCTTCGCAATTTTACTTCTTTTACATTCCTCATGAAGTTGCGAAAAATGCCGAACTTGGCACAAAGAATCTTTAATCACAGACACAGCCTTTACCGTGCCATAACTACACACAGATGATTCGCACCATCTGCTTGTGTGTGTGGCTGTTTATCCCTCCACCTAGCCGTCCGCTTCATGCTTATGTATGTGCAGTTTTAGGTTACTCTCGGGCACCGATAAGGAAGCACAACTCTTCACTCGAATTAATTTTCGATGGCCTGTACAACGCAGTAAAGGAAACAATCGTGCTTATACCATGACGGTCCAATTTTCATCGCAAGCCCGGGGTCATGCTTCAGAATGATAGAGGTATTGTGGCATCGTTTCCTAACCTCACAAAAGCATACCACAATCTCCAGGATGCCAATATAGTGCGGGTTTGTGAAGTAAGACTTCTTGTGATTGGACTTGACACCCTTCACAGTTAGCAATTCCAAGTGTCCATTTTCATTGCTCACGGTCGCGCGATTTCCATACACCAGTATCCCATTTCAACAGTGCAGCGGATTTAGACATTAGGGATAATTTTTGTACCGAATTTCGAATCAACCCTGTACAAAATTTAGGAGATGTGATTTTACATGTCGTGGCACCATACAGCACCATAACAAAAACAAAGATCCAATTGCCTCTTTTCAACACCACCCCACCGTCGCCTTTTACACAAGCTACAGAGCTGAAGGTGGTTGGATGATGAGCAATGAGCTGAAGTGACTGGAAGGACACTGAATCCCACCATATCTTCACACGAAATCTACAAGGGCGAAAAAAAATGTGTAAACAGGAAATACAACTACGCCTAAAAGGTAACTACATGGATGATGAAGCCTCAGTTGTTGCCACTTCAGTAACATCATACTTGCAAACAGGGCAGAGCTTGGAGTACGAAAGTAACCACTCAGCTCCACACGCCTGATGAAAACCATGATGGCATGGTAGATTGACCTGCAAGTCGCCATGCTCATATTCTCCCTGACAAATTACGCACACTTCCGATGCCTCATCAGAGGCTGCTGCTTGTTCCTTTTTAAAGCAGCACACCGGCAAAGCAGCAACTAGTGTAGCTGATGCTACACAGCGCACACTCTCAAGCTGAACCAGATTCTGCTTATCATCAACAATCTCTTCTTCAGTCGCAACAGATTATTTCGTGGCGAACAACTATTTCTAAAGCTGGACTCAAAGCACTTGGAGAGATTACTGACCAGACCGTGCTAAAATTCAAGATTATATACAAACCTCGTATGACATGTCAGCGATGCTTGATGGGTTTGATCTTCCAAACTGGGCAACATGGGTAGTCGAGGTCTGCTCCGCAAGTGAAAAGGACAATGCTGTTGCAACGAACAACAATTCCAACAGTGACGAGGGTTAAATTACGATCTTATCGCAACCACGATTCCGGAAATCACAACAGCGACTAAAAAAATCTATTTTGACCAACATGAAAGACTCAGCGTAAGTTAACAAATCCTGGCAAAACCTATATCTAAGCCCAGAAGAACTGTGCCTTCAATTGCATCAGCACAGCATGGTCATAGCCCCAAAACCTACCTTCTTGAATACGCACAAAGTCCAAGCATCAGACAAGAGCCAGAATCCTGATGCAAGACATTCTATAGACTTCCATTACTGGAAGCATGCCACAAGGATTACCCAAAGCCAGGTCAAGATCTTGATCGCCATCCACTCCTGTAATGTGGTCATCGTTTGCCAGGCCATTCAAGTACTCTTCCAGATCATCTCGAGCTGAATTCCGACGCAAGGATCGCCTTGCACGACGACGCAAATTAGAAGGGCTGGGAACCACCACGCTGAAATCCTCATCTTCGTCTTCCACGTACTGACCCCACCTTTGCTGCTCAATCCTCCGCTGTTCGGCTGCCTGTCTTCTTCTCCTACCTGCCAGTTTAATGACAGAAGATCGAAATCAATGCATGTGATCAGAAAGTTGCCACAACAGCAAAAACCTTCTCGACTTCTAGGACGATATTTAAGTCCTTTCAGTAAAAGGCATACATTAAGACTGATGCAAAACCAAGCTAATTATAAGGAGGTTACAAGATTTACTCGCCGGAATCATAGAGTTCATTAACAATTTCAGAAAAATGCTTATTTTAAAAAGAACACCATCTCTTCAAGGGAACCAACAGTAACTCATATCTAGATTGCCATACGTCTGTGAGAAATTGAGGGATCAACGTAAATACAATACAGGAAAGCTGGATCTTGTGCTTCAGTACCTTTCCCAGCTTTCCTTTCGCATCTTTTATTGTTGGTCCCAGCTTCTAAGCCTGTACACAACAAATTCTATACAATCAGTCGAGAGGAATGTTCAGGCGTCGGCACCATATACAACTTGTGTAATGCAGTTAAAAGAAAACCATATCGATTGACATAAAAACACGGATTTTACATTGATGTCTTTCAATATATGCTACATACAAGGACTTCAGATTTTGAAATGTCACAATCTTTGCACATACTGTCTGTGGGTTCTTTTATTGAGGTTATTACTTGAAACGTTTTCTAATGCTCTAGTTACTTCCTCAGGCCAATTCAGAAAGAGATTTTTAACGAACACAATGATGCGCAACTCACCGATATCACTTGCGTTCGAAACCCCATCATTTGCAGGAGTAGATGGAACAGCGACCACATTGCTCATGTTAGTATTGCAAGCGAACTAAACGGGGCCCCGGCTACACAGCCAAGAACCTGCTTCGACCTATTTGCGAAACCCAGGCACCTTTACCCTAATGGAAGTCGTAAAACGATCCGCTTCAAAACACTCCTCTTATTCACCCCCAACGTGCTTCGAAACCAACGCCACCTGACAAGACATTATGAAACAAAGGTAATAGTTGTAAGTTGCACGGTTCCAATAGTTAGCATCACATAGACCTAAGTCCTGAGAGGTGTGACAGGGAAACCAGTGCACAAAAGTAATGTTAAACCGATTCGATCTGTAGGTTGCAGTATTACATGATCTCAACCAGCCATAAAATCAACACCACACAATATGATAAAAGCCCACAAAAAGATGCAGGGATTCCGCAACAAAGTAGCAGATGTCCCATCGATTCGGAGCAATCACCAAACCGAATTAGGCCCAAATACAACCACTGGTAGTGACTGCACTAACCAACAGTCTCTCAGCAACACAAGCATCAAGCCCCTTGCTTATCAAACTGCAATTTCATCGACAAGATCCGAAACCATAACCACATACCCTGAACGACCACGACAATGCAAATTCCGAACTCACCGTCGTTCCTAACCGTTTCCAACAATTAGAATCAGGGCGATGAAAATCAGATCCAAGCATACAAGAGCAACTCCTTGAACTAGAGCATGCCCACGTGAATGTAGCTCCGTCCCGCGTTCATGCCACTCGCTTGGAAACGCTACCGCTGGGGAATTCCACCAATCTTGACAGAGAAGTGGCAGCGACGGGACTGTAACCCTTCCGGGAGACGCTTTCAAAGATATCTGTACGTGGAACCTTTGGCACAATCACGAGCATGTGTCGCTACTCAACCCGATCATTCACCGCGCCCTTTTCCCTTGGACTGCGGCTCGTGATCCAGGGATGCAGGCCCCCGGGCTTACGACCACCTCTCCCTCCACCGCACCCACTGGCCGGCACAGACTCTTCCAACGGTGGCGATCTCGCTCGGCAATGCGGCGAGATGCGCGCTGCGATGTATGCTGACGAACAGAACATTTGTCTCCGTTCCTTGCATGAAACTGCCCAGAGTGAACAGAGAGAGCATGCAAATCTGTTCAGCCAAGTCTTGCTACATGTCCTACTTGCCGATTCTAAACTGATTCTATCGTCAACATAGAATACAAATCAACAACCCTAGAAGTTCCACTTTCAAATGAAGTTAAATCGGAGGTGAAATCTATAAAAGAAAAAGTGGGTCAAAGGATGACGGTTCTGGTTGATAATGAAATCATGCAATCTCGACTGATACCCCCTCATTTATCGTCCTGTTCCCTGGCCTAGTGTTACTCCTTGCAGTTTCCAAAATTGAGATATACATATATGTTTATAATGATGTCTGTTTGTGTGTCTGTGTGTACACACACACAGACACACACACGGTACACAGGTGTTTCCAGTGGCAATGGAAATCTTTAATGGGTATTGTGGTACAAGTGAAAAAAAAAAGGAGAGGTGAAGAGCACCTTGTGAATGAAGTGATGCAACCCGCCCTGATACTGGATCAACAACTGCAGCAGCAGCAGCAGCCTTCCCTTCTCAGCGTGCCGTGCAGCAGCGGCGCACATTCAGCCGAGCGGAGCATTTTAATTGTGTGCAGCAGTTGATTCTCCAAATACTTTTGTCCATGCCTTCAGTAGAAATTTGATTTGCCAAGTGCTAGTTTCGAGTGGAGGATGATTGATTGCTGCAGGGGCGTGCATGCATGCAACCCAGCCTAAGCTTCCATAACCATCTTTGGGTATATATGTTATGATATGTTCTCTTGAAATAATCCATCCCATTTCGAAGGATGCAACAATACCATAAACCTCACAGAATCCTTGTGGATGTTGCTCGGAGCAGAGTTTCAGTGCCAACTTCTTTACCCTCCTGTACAGTTTCTGGACTCTCTTCAGCAGTTGCACTAGAGCACTCGAATTTTCTTAATTCTAATAAGAAGACAATAGAGAATGGCACGCGCGAGCACTGAAACTAGATTTGTGTCTTTTACAAATAAAGGTTAGAGTTAAAGTTGACCACTATTAATTGTTCCGAGTGATCTTCAGTTGCCTAAAATCGCATGCCGAAATAGCAGAGGCAAAAGCTTGTGATTGGGTCTTTCCTTCTTCTTTTAGTAGCTGGATTCTTAATTTAAATCAATCCCGGCATTCATTCAGATTTTGGCTTTGTTTCTTGTGTTGATTTCCTGAAGATGGAGAATATGTTCTTGCTTCTACATTTGTTTCTGGAATAATTTTGTGCTTTTGTGTACCAGATTTTTTTCCACCTTGTATTTCTACTCATTGTCATTGTTTTTAAATATAGTTCCTACAGAAAAATTCGGGAAAAACCAGAAACCAATTCAAGTTTGATTTAAGTATTCTAAAATTTTGTTTCAATGTAGTGATTACATTGAAGTATTTCCTTGAAATCTGTTTATCATATTATTTAAACAACTTTTTATCTTCACAAATTTACATTTAAGTATATTAGTAAACTAATTAGAAATAAAATATTTGATTGAGATGGACTTTGTACTTTTCATCTGAATAATTTGTATATGATATTTATTGGATAGTCCACTATTTTATTAATTAGATGAGGTAATAATAAAAACATACACAAATTTATTATCAAAATTTATCATCCAATTTTATTACTATTCCTTATTGATTCTAAATAAATCTTTAGTCATGTAAAAAAAATCAAATTGGATGTGTATTAAATAAATATAAGTCATGATTAAGCATTTTTGTTTAATGTAAGAGTAAAACATAAAATAATGTTGTATTGTAACACATCTATTAGGTAAAAGATTAAAAGAATGTTTATATTATGGAAGAGCCAAAATGAAAGTATTGTAGCAAATTATTTTAAAAACATAAAAAATAGACAAGGTGGTAGAAAAATTTATAAGTGTTAATGCTAACTTTTTGTAGAAGGGACTTCTACTTACTTTGAAGGGCTATAAATGAAGCCAATCAAAGTGGATAGGAACAATAATTAATATAAACATCTTTAGAAAAGATTTAAGAATAGTTTTCAGCAAAAATTACTCTAAGAAACCAAGAATTGATGCTCAAAGAGGAACATTTGTGAATCATAATCAAAATCTGATCTCAAGGCACAAAACTATGTTCCTATAGTAATTCTAAATTTTTTTTGGTTAATTTAAAAAAATATTTGAAAGCAAACTTTAAGAAGATTGTTTTAAAATTGAATTCAAAATTTTTGGATGTATATTGAATTTTTAAGAGTTTTTCAAAGTGAGATATGTATTAAGAGGTTTTAGATTTTGAAAAATAAAAAGAATCTAACATATTTGAAAAATTTGTAAATATTATAGTGAATTTATAAGTGGAATTTTGTAAATATATTATTATATTTTTTTAATGTGTTTTAAAAATTTGAGGTCAATCAAATAGCTAGATTGGAAGATATGAGAATTTTAATAGATTAGAATCTTAGATATTTGAATTTTAGGATCAATGAGGACTTCTATGATCCTAAGAAATCCGCTAATTTGATCAAAGCAAAAATTTGTAAGAACATATTAAGCTTTAATATCTATACATTTATAAAATTAGAGAGCAATTAAATATTTCAATAAAGAAAAAAATTTGCTAAAAGTTAAATGTCCATTTTATAGAAGGATGATAGCCTACATTCAAGAAATTTAGGAACTTTTTCTCTCAATTGGTTAGTTTGATTTTTTTTTTAAATCTATATACTTTTAATTTACTTGTGGATTGAAATATGGATGAAATTTTAGTTGATATCAATGGTTTAATAAATAGCTATTGAGATTATAAAGATATTATAAGAATTTATTAGGTTTATTTAGAATTTACCTAGATTTATTTAGGATTTTATTAGGATTTGATTATGATTTCATAAAGATTTTTTAAGGATTTTATTAAGATTTATATAGAGCTAAATTATGATTTTATTCTAATTTTCATTTTTAGAATTTTAAAATTATTATTTTTTATTTTTTATGGTTTTTTTTTTGGATTTTTAAGGGTTTCATTATTACTTTTCTTTGAGATTAACTTATCATTTTATGATTTTTTTTTTGTAATTTCTTTAAAACTTCTTTGGGATTTGATTAAGGTTTGATTATAATTATTAAGATCTAATTGGAATTTATTTTAGATTCCACTAGAATTTTTAGGACTTAGTTGTTGTAATTTTTTTTTTTATCTTCTACAACCAAGTGTCTAATATATTCTCAAAGAAGACTTCACATAATACAACATAATTAGTGAATGCAACATAAAAAACTTGAAGAGGAAGGTGTTTGGATTTCTTGGTTTATTTGAATTATAAAGAAGGAAGGCTTGATAGTTAAATGCAGAACTTTTTCTTGAAAATCAATTAAATAATGATAGAATTAATGTTCTAAAAGAATATTTATATATATTTTCTAAAACATCTTAGAAATCTTAATATTGACTAGAAACACTACTTGATGTCTTTCCACCATCAAAAATGGACATGGCATATATAACAAAAGATGGTTTTTCTTTTGTTGCATACACAAAAGATTTTATACCTACTAATAAAGTTTAAGATGTACTAAACTTATGTATTTTAATATGACTAATAGAATTTTGGATCCAACTACAAAAAAAATTAAGGTTACAAGAAATCCAATCTATATGAGGGTTATATTTTTTAATCACGTAAATCCTAAAATAACTTAATTAGAAGGAGATTTTTAATTGTTACAACTAAAAGAACAATTTCATAGGTAGTATCTTTAGAAGTCAACAAATAACTATTTATGACTTCTATATGTACATATTTGACTTGCTTAAGTAAAAATATATTTTGATTTTTGACAAAGTCTTTGTCTATAAAACAAGCTAAGGCTTTTGAATCTAACAAGGCAACAACTTTGTGATTTTTTTATCCTAAACAAATTTATATTGTAATCTTTTGAAAACTTAAAAAATATTGCTATGGCTTGACTTTTATTTTTTTATTAAAATTTTTATTTGTAACATGTTTCAAAAAAATCACTTGTTGCATGTAATGACTTGAGTAATAAATTACTCTAATAAATTTGCTTTCAATATTGTCAACAATAAATCTTTGATATTATCTTTTAATCCATATCAAAATTGATTAATAAAGACTTTGTCATTCTAATCCACATCATAAGGAAGATTTTAGAAGTTAGCAATATATATATAGTAGTTGAATGTGATCCTTGTTGTAATATTACAAGTTTGATTTCTATTATTCTTTGTCAATTATTTTTTCTAAATATAATTATAAATACTTCTAAAAATAAATTTAAATTATAGAATAATCATGAATGTTTTTTTCATCAAAGATCAAAACTAGGAGAGAGCACTTCTTGATAGAAGAGCACCTATGAATCTAACTTGAATAAATCCATTGAGGTATTGGAAATGATACAACCTTAAATAGAACTTAACTTATTACAAAAATCATCAAAATTTTGATCTTGTTCCATCAAACTTCTTAAGCATAATAATCCTTGCCTCTCTTATGCATGTAGAAGCGAGACTTTGTAGATTTGATTGTGAGGCTAATCTGTTTGCTTCTTTCAATTGCACAACTTTTTGGTATAGAATGTAGACTTCTTTCATATGTATAAGAATAGTATTTCCATGATTTATCTTAAAAATATGTGAGATTTCTACTCTTAAAGTATTAACAAGCTCATAAAGATCTACAATAGTTATAAATACATTCTCACTTTTATTGAAAGTAACATCTATAATCTTTCTTTCTATAATCAACTCAAACACATTCAAAAAATTGAATTAGAAAGAAATTATTTGGAACCTTTAATATACAATAAATAAATTCTATTAAATAGATAATATATTCTTTTTTAAAGAA